TTAGGACTGTTGTGAACCTAAGAGTTTTGTTCAACTTCAGCCACGCTTCAGGGCCTGTTGCTCACCTGAAAGCTGCCACTGGTGTTTTTGGCTATATGTGGCAACACTGGGCTGTGTTGGTTTTTTTTTTTTCAGTGAAAATGGGGGTTGGATCACCATTTTATCCAGGAGACATGGTATCCTTGCAGATTGTCTACAATATTTAGGATTGAAGTGTGCTGCTTCTCCCTAACTATGCTGTTTATTGACAGTACTGCTAATGCAGCTGTCTCAAGCTTACTGGTGGATGAATGAATGTGAGGAGCTTGGGAATGTTTTATGCCCAGACAGCAGCACTGAGAGGAGAAAGAAAGAAAGAGAAAAGGCAGTTGCAGAGCAGTTGTTTTGCAAAGAGATGAAAAAACCTGCTGCAGATTCTACACAGGATTGGATGTAGCAGCTTGAAACAGCAGAAATAAACATAGTTCCATTTTGGCTGGTGCCAATGTCAGTATTTCTGCCTGTGAATGAGCAGTAACAGATCTAACATTCCTATAGAAGACATTAGGTTGAGAGATTCTGAAATGTATGATTCTTTTATCTGCTGGATACAAAGTCATGCCACAGCATGTTTTAGTGCCTCAGTTTTGTATAAAATAAAGACAATATTATAATGTAATATTTGGGATTGGATTAATCCCATGTAGCATAGAATATAGTAAAATAAATTCCAGAGAGGAAATGAGCCCATCTGAGGTCTGAAATTTTCTCTGGAGTTTCATCGCTGTCCAGTGATTAGAACAGCATGTCCTTTTTTGGCATCTTGATTAAATGCGTAAAGCAAAGTGATATGAATCAAGATCATTAGAGCTACAGATGTTCCCAAATTTACACTGCCTGAAACATTTTTACTGGCTATAAAGGAATTTTTCAATATTATATCTTTTCTCTTGGAGATTCCTGGTGCTTGGGCCTGGTTAATCTCTTCTAGTAGTATCCTGTCACTTCTGGAAACTTATGCTAAAACTGTAATGACAAAATTGTAAGAAGATCTATATATTTTTTTCTACTGACATGCAACTAGCATTGTATTTCCAAGTGCTGGGTATCATTTGGCTTCATTAGACAACTATTCTCCTGTAAATCTGAGATAACTGGTGACTGACCTCATGCAAAACAAGGGCTGTGATATTAGAAATCCTATTTCATAATATAACAGTGATCTCAGTGCAACAGTTAATTAAAAGGTGGTTTTATTGAAGGGGCTTTTGTTGTTGTTTAGGCTTTTTGTTTGAAGAGTTTAAAGTCTATTTCTTTTTGGAGGGCTTACCTAAGCACTTTCTAACCATTATAATGTCATTATATATGGGATTCATTACATTAGAGACGTTAGAGAAGATTAAAAAGGATCTATTGGAGGCATTGGCTTAAAAAAAAAAAAAAAAAAAAAAAAGATAAAGACTAGTTTCAGTTTGAGCTCTTATTATGCGGCTTGAAACAAATGCTGAAATATTGTATTTAAGCTAAGTGTGTTTGGAAGGAGCATTAGGAAAGAAAGCAAGGCAGCAAATACCACCCTCGCCATTAAAGAAAGAAATCACAATGGTTGGGAACACTGTGTTAATTAGCAAACTAATTTCCTTGTACTTTAAGTGCATAACAAGTTTTAAATGCATTCTGAATGGCTTGATATCAATTGCATTTTGTTCTTTGAATTGTAACTGTTTCCATGGCAATGCTGAGTTCTGCTGTATGCGGAAAGCCTTCCAGTCGTTTATGGAAAGTCTGTATTAGATCAGTAGCTGACCAGTATGTGGGTTATATTTTACTACTTCTACTGCAGTTGTTTTTACAAGCAAACTAACAAGACCAAAAAAAAAAAAAAAAAAATGTCACTGGAAGAGGACTTGTTTCTCAGACAGTCCCATTTGGCTTCATTTTACTGATTTTACTAAATCTCTGCTGCGCTACATCAGCTCTTGTTCTTTTTGAGTATCTTCTTTATGCATCTCCTAACATAAAAAAGGGCCACAAATGTCTATTGTTCCTGCTATTTTAAGCCATCCTTCAGGTCGCTTTTAATTGTTGCATAGTACTTTTAATTGTACATAATACATAGTACAGCGTACTTTGAAGTACGCTGTTGTTTTTCAGGGAGAACAAGTAACCCTGAGGGGAACTGCAGTAGGGCTACTGACCACTGCTGGGCAACTGAGGAACAGGGACAGGAGAGGACTGTTGTGTTCAAGGGGCAATAGTTATTGATTGCAGGGTGACCTGGTGTTCCTGCTAGGGAGAGGGAGAAGTCAGGAAAAGGGCTACACCAGAAAATTGTTTGATCTCTTTTTGAGAAAAGAAGAAACAAACTTCTTTTCTCTGATAGCTGTACCTTTTTTCCTTGACTTCTGCATGAGATACTGTAATTATACCTTGCTAAGAATCCATTTACCTTTTCCCATACTCAATTTTTTTTAAATTCATATCTCAGAAAGAATAGCCAATGTTCACTGGAAGAAATGCTATTCATCCTGGCATATTTAGGTGTTGTTTTTTTTTTTTTTTCATTGATTCCCATCCCCTCCAATTTTATAATGGTTGTGACATTACAAAATATACAATCTACTGAAGGAAGAAGAGCCAAATATCTGCATGATGATATTGAAAGGCAGAGTTCAAGTCCTGGCTCTGGTACAGGCTAATTCTCTAGCATTGGGTAAGTAGTTTGATAGCCTTGGCCCCTACTATGTAAACCAGTAATTGTTCATTTCAACCATCATTTGTAATTCCTCTGTAGTCCAACTGTATCATTTGTTTTCTGCGTTTGTATCATTTGTTGGTGCAGCAGAAAGGAGCAGATGATCATAAAACTGTGGTTCTTGCTAGGAAGAAGAAAATAATCTGTATTGGCATTTCATCTACTTGTTTCGTAATTTGCGGGCCTCATGTAAGATTCAGTCTCTTGGAACTAACATTGACTGGACCCGGTGATTTCTACCACATTTTGACTTTTTCATTTAGAAAATGTTGAGGCAGCTGGATTCATCTTTTTGTTTAGATAGTTGTAAAAGATTAAATAAAGGAAATCCATAACCAACTCAGGGAGTAAATGGCAACATTTATACAGAAGTCTCGGCAGTTTCTTTTTTGGGACATGTTTTCTCTTCCCCATTTACCTTTGTTTGCTCATGACAAGCATCAAACAAAATCTTGACCTTGAAGAAAGTCTAATGTGTATGACACAACACTCAGGAGAAATATACTTCCTGAAAAAAAGTAAGGTTTCCTTTATGCTGTGTTTATGATTTAGGTCTACATAAGGCAAGGCGTAAATATCTGAAGGACAGTCCTTGCTCCCAAACATCTGCTAGTGGTGAAGCAAAATAAGGGGAAATCGGAGTAAAATTTTTTTCTGCTTTACATGTAGGAAAATAAATTATGCAGAAATTGAGTGGTTTGCTGAAGGTCACACAGAAAAACCTAGTCCAAAGCTGAGAAGGCAGAATTAATATACTGGGTGGACTGCACTATCACAGTTTGTAGCTAAATATTCAATATTCTGGACATTTAAGTAGGTAGACAGTGGTGTTCAGGAAAGAAACTGCTAGAAATGTATTTCTGCTCCGGTGACATCCTAGTGAGTTAGAGCCATAGGAACTTTGTCATGTCATTGTAAGAATTGTCCAGACATTGATTTGAGGCCAACTGGAAGAGCTCTTCCGGTGCCTGAACAAACTGTGTTTGATAACAGAGTAGATGGGTAGTTTGCAACGTGTAGTATGTCTGGCAAACAGCTGATACTTTCATGCTTGGGTGAAATAGTGATTATCTCTAAAATACAAACAGGTATCCTGACGTTCCTGAAGGACTTCCTCAGGGGTTATTTTGGGGCATTTCTTCTGTCTCTGGAGTTCTCCCTCAAATTGCTTGATCTGAAACCAACAAAAGCTCCCCTTTGGGAAGAGAAAGACCTGACTTTCACCATTTATGCTACCTGGCAGTGTAGTGAAGTAATTTAAGTACAGAAATTGAATAAATGCTTTTATATGTACAGGCAGAATCTAGTTAACTATTCTTACTGTAAACAAAGAGATCTGGCCTTGTCTAAGATCATCACTCTGGTGCCTCTAATTCAAAACTTGCCAGGTTATTTCAGCTCCTAAAATTCTTGGACTTGAGAGGTGTTAATAGATTGGCAGAGCCAGTGGAGAGATGTTGGGGAAAATGGAATTTAGTTCACCTGTCAAAATGGTTGTCCCAGAAAACTTGTATTTGTTCTCTTTTGCCAAAATGGAGAGGGGGGGGAAAATAACAAACTCAAACCCTTTTATAGTGATTTCACTTCATCAGTTCTATTTCTGATGCTTTTATTTTGATTTCAATTTCAAAAAGAAATTTTGATCCAATATATGAAGTTGAATGCTTTATATAAAAGACAGCAAAAGAAGATATTTCTCAGGTAGAATTCATAGCTTTTTTTCCTTCCCCTTCCCATCCTGTTTTTGGCTATAACTACCTGCTGTTTTTGACCCAAAAGGTTACAGCTGCATAAAACTAATTTTTTTTTTTTTTTTTTTTTTTTTTTAAACATTGTACTTCTTGGAGAAATATTTGCAATGTCATTCATGGCCATGCTTGGAGAAAATTCAGGCATGCTGCTTCTACCAGACTCTTCTCTCCATGCTGTCTGCCCAGTCCCTTCTCTTCTCGAGCTGCGCCATGCTCTCATCAGTACAGTTTTGAGTTTGGGCCCCTTCACCTGCTAATGTGACTAATAGCTAAGATTCAGCAGAGTAAAGCTTGCAGATGAAAAACTTCAAACACTGCATTCTCCTCAACAGCTTATCCCACTGTTGTGGGGTAACACACAAGTGCCAGCTTCAGTTAAGAGGCATTGCTTCTTGCTGTTACGTACTCGAAATGCATCCCCACTGCAGGGGCAGCTGATCTGCACAACGTCTAATGTCAAGCACTAACCTGTGGAGTTTGACTCACCATGGTCTTTTTTCTCATCTTTCCTGCAGGTCCCAGCAAGAAGTCGCACTGTATTTTTCTCCATTGCTCCCTGTGGAGTTCATGTGTTCAGCCTTCTTTCTAATGATGGCAATAAGCAGCTGTCAGCTATTATCTGATGATGTGTAAGTCATTATAACATCTGCACCTCACCCTTCAGTAGATTAAAAATTCTTTAACTTTCAGACATCTTCCTCTTGTGTTGGTACATTAACCCTTTTTCCAGGTTGTGTCAAAGCCTTCTGGCTCTCAAGTATCCCACAGAACAAGCACATTAGCAAAAGGGAATGCTGGCACCATGTTGTTTGAGTTCTTAGACATATGAAATCTATTGACAAAACAGTTCCAAGGTCTGTCTGCTCACGGCAAAGATTCTTTGTTCTATTCCTTCACATTTTCAATGTATCTTGCTTGGTCAGAACAACAGTTATGTTTACTCATTGGACTGCACTATCATTCCTACGCACCCTCCTGTGCTGTCATGTACTCACAATCATGTCACACACTCATTCTCATGTGTGCAAGCATAATCCTGCATGCTCATACTGTCAGTGCACATTTGGTGTTATTTTCCTATTGGAGGTCTTTTTCTGGGTTTTGGCATTCTTGAGAGATTTGTTGCTGGGTGTGACTCAGAGCCTGCCAAAGTACTGAAAGAATAGTGCATTTTTTTCACTAAAATAGATGCTAACCATATCATCTAGTCTTGTATTTGACCAACGCTCTCAAAAATTTAGGGTAACTTAACAGACTCCTTCCCTAATGATCTGTGTGATGAATCCCGCTCTAAAAGCACCTGGTTTCTTATAGGAGGTGGCATAGTTGAGAGCTTAGTTCCCGTCAAAGTGTTTCAGGTTCTGCATCTGCAAAATTTTAGATCCACACATGTAAACCATTCATATTTTTTAACATTCAGGAAAAGAAAATTGAAGTTGGACTTGCAGCTCACAATATGGAGCATTTCAATCTTCTGCTATTGGTGACCTTAGATACTAATACATGAGAGACTGTAATGAGTTGGGAGCATCTATTCTAAATCCTTTTGAGTTTTAAACTGGGACATTAAAAAAACAGGATTTAAAAATAGCTATGTGCCTTCTGCAGTCAATTCACTCTGCAGGAAATCTGAACAATATTCAGGAAATACTATAACTCTCAGAAAGGCCTGTTGTTTCTAAGCAGAGACAGTCTGGTCTTATCCACGTTGAGGAGCAAATGGGATTGACAAGCGTGTAACAGAATTGAAACGGAAAGTGTGAAACTGTGTTTGAAAGCAGAGAGAAGCTTACAGACAACCTTAGCTTCATCGTGATTGACAAAGAGAGAGGAAAAAAAATAAAAAGGAGCTCTGTAAAGGGATTCTTTATGATATCGTATACGTTTAGAAAAGGCGGAAGGCACCTGAGGGGGCCAAAGGAAACCTAAATTAAAGCACACTGAAAGCTAGATTTTTCTGCCTAACACCCCAAACTTAGTGCAGATAATTAAGCAGAAGATGCCTGGCTGGATGGTACTGAGCTGAAGCCATTGGCATGGCAGCAAGTGACATCCACTTCACATCCCTTATTCAAATGAGTAAATGAGAACTAGAAGCCAGGACAGAGACACAAGAGCAGCAGGAGGAAAGTCCAGCCAGCTGAACATGACCCTCCTGAAAGAAGTGTCTGAACAGGCAGGCCAGCACTGACTTCAGGCAGAGCATTGCACAGCTGAAAATGGAAGATTGTTTCCAAAATGTTTTGCATTGGCAGTGGGATGTTCTCCATGCATTCCACTGCAATAGTGGAATTTATGGCTCTAGTTTTTGCCTGCTGGACTTCAAGGGATTCTGTGGTATTTCTGGTTTTGTTGTTGTTTTAAGCCTGAGCAAAATTTGCATGATTATTTACACTGCATGCTTGCTATCGTGGACACTGGGATTTCTGACAGTCTGAGGTGAAGCTGTGGTTACTTATCAGGAGGTATTGTGATTTATATAAAAGGAAAATTTGCCTTTGCTATGAAGTTCTCCCCTCTTTTCTCAGGGGAAAAAAAAAATAAAAAAACGGAACGGGTTTTGCTTTCAGGTAACTTTCAGACAGTTCAGTACTTCTCAAGGGAAGTTGCATAGGAAGACATAGAGAAATTAGATAGTTTTTGTCAGAAGGAAGTAATCTGGTATCTTTCAAATAGCTCTGAGGCTCTGTAGAGTGCGTGGTAACACAAGGCTGTGTTTACAGAGGTGGTCATGCCTGAGCTATGACTGGAGTTGCAGCATCTGTTCAGGGCTGAGTAACACCTGCAAGGGTTGTTTTTAGAGCTGAAAGATGATTCTTCAGGGTTACAACCTGTTCCTTCATTGCTTCTATCATCTGAAGGTTAAAAATACCACCTGTAACTTTGTATGCTTCCCCAGTCCTCTTGAGACATGCCGCCCATTGTCAAGGACCCCAAAACTCTATATTCTTCCATAGCTGGTCAGCTCTTTTTGCTCAGAATTTAGTGGAAATAAACCTAACTAAAAGAAGAGATTAGTGTGTGCAGCAGCTGCTTTCACAAGTGAGATGAACACATGCAAAACTCTGCAGTGTGAGCATGGAACCTACTCTCTGCTCACAAATATTTAAATAGCGGTGATCTGTAAAAATACAACAAAGTGTGCTATCAGTCTTTCTTCAGCTGAAAAACGTTTGTTATTTTTCAGCTCAGTTATTCTCTTGATTTTAAGTGTGTTCAACCATCTGTTGAGGGCACAAGAAGACAGAAGCAAGTAATTAAGAAGAGCAATTGCGCCACACTGCAAGTAATGGAGATAAAGTGTTTAGAGACATTTCATAGGCTAAAAGTAATTTTTCATGACGAGGGCTTATGAAGAATATATGCAGTTGTGAGAAATAGGTGTGGTGAATAATATGCACAACAGAATCCCTTGAAAAATATTTTGGGGGACTTATCTCACCTTGCTGTGTTAGTCTAAAAGTCCTACTAGACCTGTAAGCAGTCTCAAATAGACAGCAGAAAGGTCTAGACACTCATTAAATGAGAGGACTCCCACTTTTGGAGATACCATCCTTTCTCATTGCTCCTGAAAGAAGCCCACATCCCAGCATTACTCAAGGTATCTCCTCAAACAAGGTGAAGTCAGAGGAAGTGCACTGCTCACAGAGTGAATTCCCAGCATTGTCCCTGTTTCAGCTTGGATGGAGTTGGTTTTTCCTTCATAGTATCTGATGCTATGTTTTGACTTTAGGTAAACATACCTGTTGTTTCTAGTTGTTGCTGAGCAGTGCTAAACAGAGCCAAAGGTGTTTCAGTTTCTCACATTCTCATGATGTCCTGGGCATCAGTTGGTGGGTGGTAAGCAACTGTTTATGCTTCCCTTGTTGTTTTTTTTTTGTTTTTGTAGTGTATATATATGCACGCACATATATTATTATCATATCTATTATCCTTTTGCCCTTTTTATTTTCTCTATCTTAGTAAAAAGCTTGTATCTCAATCCACAAGTTCTACTTTGTTCTTTTCTGATTCTGTCCCTCGTTGCTCTGGGAGGGAAAGGAGTGAGCAAAAAACTGTGGTGCTGTGCCACCTGTTGAGTTAAACTGCAACAGCTTTTAAAATCAGAGCCGATGTTTTCATTGCCCAGTATATACTATACAGAAGTCTTCATCTTTAACTTTTGAGGAGAGGTTGCTTCTTGGAGTGAAGCTACAAAATGATGAGGGCAGGCTGAGTGCCAGATCATATGTTTAGAAATAAGCAAGTGAGATTTGGAAAAAAAAAAAAAAAAAAAAAAAAAGCAAAAAGAACAGCAGATAACCAACTGTGCCTTTCTGAAGCTTCCCTTTTTTTTTTTTTTTCAGCATGATAGGCAATGTCATTAATATAGGCATTGTCCACAACCTGGAACAGACTTTTTGAGTAAACCTACAAGTAAACCAATAATGTCTAAGAACTGAATTGCAGTCATTTCTAGTATTTTCTGTAACATTTGCATTAAAAAGCCTTTTGTCTGCACTGCACTAGCCAAATAGATGTGAGATCTTTTTCTTACCCAAATGAAAACCCACTGTCCTCTTTCTCTGCTAAATGACAAAGCTGGCAGACTTCCTTCAACACAGTGAAGTTTCAGATTTCTTGAAAGAGTAAATGCTGCCTAATCCATTGAGATTATCACCTAGGCTGATGTTATTCAAATTTACTTGCTAATTTTTCAACAAGCTGTGTATTTTCCTTGGCTGCCTCTTTAGATCACTTGGAGCATTGCAAAGTCTTACCTTTTTATGTTCCCTCTAAATATTTTGAAGTGCCTTGTACAAACAAGGAAAAGTTAGCGTGGCTTTCCAGCACTCCTTTCTGCAATTAAAAATGTAGAGCTATTTACCTTTGATTGCAGTTAGGAACAAGACCACCATATCCACATACAGGTTTCTCCAAAGCTTCTTTCATTTCCACCAGAAAGTTGACTGCTAGCGTTTGCATGTATTCTACTCTTTGGATTAGTGAAGGAAGGGAAGCCTCCAAGAATCCAAGGACGGATTCCTTTCCTAGCTGGGGCTGAGTTCTGCTCACCGAAAATAAATCTTTTAGGTCCTTCTGCACCAGTCACAAGATTTACAAGCACATTTCTATGTTCAATCAAGATGCTTGTATATGGGAATCAAGGAGTTAAAATTTAAATTAGTTTTTCTGTGAGGACCTGCCCACGTGTGACTTACTGATCACCTTCAGGGGATTGCGCAGGAAATGAAGATTTATTACACTGCTGTTACTTGACCTGTGGCTTTTACCTTGCAAGGATGAGCATTTCTTTTAGCCAAAAGGAAGCAATTGGTTGCTGAGACTGGAGGATTTCTGGAGGAAGCAGCACTTTCTCCAAAACAATTAAGAGGGATTGAAAGGTGGCTTAGCTGGAGGACACTGAGTTAATCCACTGGTATCAGGCAGAAATTAAAAGTGAGACTTGCACAACATATGGAGTAGTGACCGCACTAGAAAGGAAGCAGCATGAAAGCCAGGAATAGTTTGGAGGTAGTAGATAGTTTGGGCAAATATGGTGCTTACAGAAGTCTGTGAGCAAAGCTTGCAGTCCTTAATTCCCATTGAGATATACGAAACTTTAGAGACACTGGCTGAACTAGAAAATGGTATCGTAAGTCTGTAAAAATAAATAAATAAAAATCTGAGTATGTTCTTCCAAGGGTATGCAGTCAGGCAGTTTTGCTGGAGTGAGTATTAAATATCAAGGTATCAAAAGTAGGCCTCAGAATGTCCCAGTAAAGCTGACGTATTAGCAGATGAATTGCTGTGTGGGCTGTGTAGGTGTGCACATGTCAAATAAAAGCAATTGCCTTATGCTAAGAAAAAAAAAAAAAAAAAAAAAAAAAAAATCTGTCTGTTTCAATATAATTCCTTTAGTTGCCTTTATTTGCAATATGTTCTTGTTCCACTTCAGGAGGTGCTGATAGGAGAAATAAACTCATCGCTCTTACTGGTGCCAAATTTTCTAAAGCAGAACATCCTCCACTCTGCTTTGAGTGCAGTCTGTTGCAACGATTCTTCTGGAGCTACATGCAAGATTGCAGTGTATCAGAAGTTATCAACTGATGAGCAACATGACTTATCAACACTATAGTGGTTGTGCTTTGACAGGTATTCAAACTGAAAGATCAATTTACATTTTCTGAAAGGAAAGTATATGCAGTAGATTAGTTTTCAAATGGTTTTTAGTACAGGGAATGAAACTACTTACATTGGTGATTTTCTAAGGATACGTTTGTTTTTGCTGTGTTTTTTTTTTCCTCCTCTTCTAGATGCAATTCCTATTTGCTAAGGATTCAGAGCATTACATTAGAATAAGGAAGACTTGGAGGGCAATTTTAGAAAAATAGATATCCAAATCACTAACATAATCCTTCTGGCTCTTTGAAAATGAAAAATAGAGTGTTTCAGAGAGCTATTTATTGGAAAGATTAGTTTTATCATGAAATTATTACTTGAGCACATGGCTGAAGATTGGCCATTACCTTAGAAAATTCACAGATGAAAACACATGGAGAGTTGCCAATGAAAAAGACCTAATGACAGAAAGAGTCTTTTCTTTGTATGCTGCATTTTTCCCCTACAGTTATGTTTTGGCTTCACTTGGGAGAAGTAAACAATCTGTTAAGAAAGCAAAGGATGGAAAAATAAGTTAAAACTGTATTATAAATGTTGTAAATGGTCTGATTTTGCAGTGGAAAGCCGTTCTGTTTATTTATTGATAGGTATACATTGAAAAATCCAAAAATATTTATGTGCAGTATTTTTTTACAATAATCTTTGTTGTTCTTTTTACAAGAACAATCAAACCACAAATATTTACATGGTACACTGAAAAAATCTCTTAGTATTTATGAATGTGTGTGTGCATGTATGAACTGCATGGGGTGTTATGAACAGCTTATAAACCATTTTAGAGACAGTTTTATATGTGAGAAGCAGGGACAACTCCTTTGAAGTTTGGTAATGCTTTGGTGGTCTTAATCTAACTATTTTATTATAGGTAATCCCTTGGAGAAGACCTCACCAGTATCACCTAAAACTAGAAACCAGTTGCCAACTGATTTTTTTTGTTTTCTTGCAGTGCTTCTTCACAGATCTGCCTGTTTGTGTTATAGAAGTTTCGGTCTTCCAGTTGGAGAGGAGTGACACAGATATTTAAGACACACGCAGCTTAGATGTAGCACATTGTGAGTACAAATGATTACTTTGAAAATGTCTAAAACTCTGTGAAAAATTGTAGCCAGCCAAAAAGCATGCATGGAATTGGGCTTGCATGTTTACTCTGATTTTCAATGGTCAATGAGAGAAAGAAGGAAAAATTCTAGTGAATGTTGTTTGCCATAAATCATTCAAAATGAGCTTCTACGTATCTACTGGTGTTTGTTCCAGCAGCCCCTGAAAACCGCAAACTTGAGCTGGTTTCTGTATGCAGTGGTTTATACATGTAAGGTTCCTGTACATACATTTTCCTTTCTGACCCATGATTTTTGAAAGCTCTGAAGACAAGGAAAATAATAGAGCTTGCAAGTCCTGAAGTGTGATCAGTTAGTTGGACTTGATGATCTCTGTAGGTCCCTTCAAGCTGAATTTTTGTATTCTGTTTTGACATCTTAGAGCATTTTCCATTTGTTTGCTTGTAAACTGATGTTGTGGTGAGTGGAAAAGCGAATCCTCTGTGGATTGCTTTGTTGGCAGTGGCTATCTTGTGTGCAGCCCTCACGGTCTGGCATAACCCTTTGTATTCTCTTTGCTTACTGGGATGGGGTTTGTACTCATCTCTTATTTCCAGCACCGACAGATGGCAAACTTCTTCAGTTATTTATAAAACCTGCTTGTTTTCTGGCATTATCTGGCTGGCTGATCCAGGTGTGTGTAAAGTTTTCTGTAAAATGAAGGGTGTCTTCCTTTAGGAAACACAATGGATAAATTCTCCTTTTTGTAGAGATACAGATAGCTAACCTGCCTTCATGGCAACCTCATGCAAATCCTATCCCACTAGTGGAGGGAAGGATTTCCCTGCTGTTAGTCATCTTTGGTGTGGGGGATTTTTGCAAAAAAACTGAAACATAATAATCTGTTTTTTATCCCTCTTATTTAATTCATCCTCCCAATCTGTTGTATTTCTCTTGTAACAAAAGGAAGAAAATTTAATGTGATTGAATGGCCTTTGCTAAATTTAGTATAGGCACTAAATAGAGTCATGCTTTCCAGTGAAAGTATTTTGGTGGGAGCAGACATTTCCTGATTCTAGCCATAGTAAAGCATCTGATTCATGTAGCACTGCGGTTCTTCATTCCCTCAAATCAATTCAAAATAGATTATGCAAATCTAGGGGAAATCTGACGTAATAGGCAAACTGCAGATAAATGTTAAATGGGTGTGCAAGATTGCCAACTGTGGAGCTTAAATTTATCACAAATATGTCTACCTCTTTACCTTGCCTTCTCCAAAAGGAAATGGCTGGAATACTTTATGAATAGCCGCATTTACAGACCAAACTATTTTGTGTTTTTCTTTTCTTCTCATTGACGTACAGTTTGAAATAAGCTAAAACTATGCTAGTTGCCATAGCTTTCCCAGATAGTAAAGGAAAGTCCCACTGGAAAGCAAAGGGAGCCAAGCTGGGGTGACAGTTCTGTTAACTGGGCAAAGGTAAAGCAGATGTGATGGGCAAATTTAAAGCAGACATGGTACAGAGGACTAAAACAATGAAATTTGTGCAGACTGGTTTTATGCTTGCTTCAGAGAATCTGAGTCAGATTGGAGCATGTATGTTTTCAGTAGATGAATCTTATGTGAAAAATAGTATGTGTCATAGAGATTGGGGACATGACAGTTCTGCCTGGGAGTCTGAAAGTGTGTCTCCAGGCGAGCACATGCCTCCCTCTTTTGTACCCAGTGCAGTAGTCTTGTTTCAGTGAAATATGAAACAAGGATTAGACGTGTGGACTTCCCTTTCCAAGAAGGAATTCTTTATCTGGTAGCTATTCTGCAGTGGAATGCTACTCTTCCCATTCATTTTCCAAGCAACAGCTTTCAAAGATGTTTCTTTTCTTTTTAGAGGACTTCAGTAAAAAGTACTGTGCTTCACATGATGCAGAACTGGAAGGGAAAGCCACTAAAACCTCAAAAAATCCCACAAACTGGAACACTTGTTTCCTTCTCAGCACTAATTAGGCTAAAGAACAGTAGAAATAGTGGTCATTTCAAATTAGCTCCTAGTGTACTCATGCTTATAAGTTTAAATTTCTTTCCTGCCAACACTTACAGAATTTTGCATCTTTAGAGAGAGGAAAAATATGTCCAAAATGAACTGATTTAATCTTTCAGACATACAATTGTAACAATCTCTCTGCATTATTTGCCCTCAATGAGAACAAACTGTCATTGGTACCATTTCCAGGCGATTACCAAGAAATGCTTAATCTTATGTGAATGTCTCGCAAGTCATACATTATAGCTGGTAACGGTTGTCTTTAGAGTGAAGGTAGCTTCAAAGAGAAAGTAGAAAGTGTTTATTTAACCTTAATTTTAATTTGCATTTTTCTGGATAATTATTTTCCTGTCAAAGACTTACTTTGCTTGACTAGAGGAATCCTGTAATTTTTGTTTTTATTTTTTACATTTTGGTTTATAGTATTTAATCAGCCAAGATGTACTGTGGTCAATAGTAGTTAATGTGGGATCATTTGGAAGGATTTTGGCAATTTGAGAAAGTTTGCTCATAATGAAAATGAGGAGAGCCAGTAACTAAATATGACGAGCAATGTTAGAGGCTCCCATAGAGAATGGAGCCTCGTTATGTGTCATGCATACCACACACACACATCTGTCTTAACAGTCTACAGCCTAAATCAATAAGAGGTTGACAGAGCAATGACAGTACGGTAATGAGTGACACAACTTGTAGCAGGCTACCATCCTCTCTAGTCCCAAACAGCATCTAATGGACTGAGGTATGCTTCAAAAATTAACCCAGTCTGGCAGAGGCTGAAATTACTTTTCACTAATTTTGTGAAATAACATATATGTGGAATTGAATGTTACTGTGCTCTGCATTTGGCAGCATCTTAAATCAATTTCTGTGCTTATATTAGAATGTGATCATCAACATGTTTTCCATCCACGCTTCTAAATCGTGCTTGATGACTAAACTGGCAAATAACTAGAATCTTTCTTTGGCAGTTCACTGAAGTTTACATTTTCTTATCAACAGCACTGTTGACTCTGGTGTAAAGAACTGAGAAAGCAATAAAATAGCCTGGAATGAACAAACCCTACCTACAGAGAATATTTCTGCTTCTGCAATAATCAATGTGAAAATTTTCCAGGCTCATCTGAACATTAAGAAAAGCCATTAGGTAGGTGTCAAGATGGCAACCTTGCTGATTCAGCTGAATCTGTGGATCTTTCTCAGTGTACATTAGCTGTGGATTGAGTGTCTGAAGACAATAGATAAGCCAGTGGAAGGTCCTTTTGCTGTCTAAGAAGGAAAGCTTGAGGTCTCTGTGTGCATCTGCATCAGTCTGTTGGTTGTCAAAGCACCTTGCACTTCCTGACCTGGCAGATGCTGCTTTTTACACCCACTGCCTCAGGCTGCCTCCCTTAACTCTGCCTAGGGCACTTTGAGCCTTAGTGGAAACCAGATGAAGAATTAGACAGTTACGTATTCTGGCTTTCACCAATGGCAGGTGGCACTTCGTTGGGCCAATGAGGGGCCATTCATCCTAGTAATCACTAGGACTGTAAGCAGGGCATACAGGAATGGGAGAGCATAGCTGCAGGATCCAATCTTATGCCAGTGGATTTCAATGTCAAAAATTCAATGAAATACCTCCCAAGTGAGCATGAATATGTCCCTGAATTTTGATGCTGGTTGTAGGAATGTGGATAGCCTTCTAATGCAAGATGCAGTCTTATTTTTTGCTTATTAATAACCAGATTGGCACTCTTTACACCTGCTGAGGCTCATCTAGCCCCAGAAAGCCTGGCTAAGGTCTGCCATCAAGCCTTGGTAGTGTGGACTAACACCATTTCCATGAGCTTACTGATGGGCTTGTCATTTCTTTCCCTGCCACAAAAGCTTGCTACTTTGGAAAGACAAACAGAGCATCTGGTAGAGTATTTATTAATCTGAAGTGGAAATGACAACAGCAGCAGCAGAATCTCCAGTATGTTTGCTTGCCCAGTTCCCTCAGCCTCCTGGAGAGGGAATGTGGAGAAATGTTCAAGATGAGATATTCTTATCAACGGCCATGTTTAAGTTACACTAATTGACATGCTCTTCTAGCAAGGGGAAATTTTCCAATGGCAACAAGTCCCCCAAAACCTGAAGCTAAAGCAGGGTTGATCTTCTCTCAATCTCTGCTGAGAGGAGCTTTGCTGTTTTACTGATGCTAATACACAAACGTGACGTCTTTTTTTTTTCTTTTATCAAAAGAAACTCATGTTAAGTCATCAAGTGTAGCCTTAAGTGAGAGATCTGTCATTTTTTGACAATAATTCACACAGACTCCAAAAGAAATGTACTTCTAAACAGTGACTCTGTGAACAATAAAACAAACACTCTCAACTACCTACCAGCTCATCCATCTTTTTAAATCATGTCAGCAGAGTTCAACTTGTTCACCAGGTTTTATTGTTTCATGGAGAAAGGAATAATTTGTGGTGGAATACCTGAGCCATTGACCTTTGCAATTATTTATTACTTGGTCTTGATTTCTTGCACATTTCTTCTTCTTCATTTTCCTGTCATTTGTTTTAAGTGATATGGTTTATTCTGTCTTCTTAGCCATCTGGATTCCTACAGTAGATTTGTGAGTTGAACTGTGTAGCCCTTCTGCTTAAAATAGCATCCACACCCTGTTTATAAAATTTGGGGTAGTTCTGTGTGTGTGATTTCTGTTGTAGGCTAGGTGTGAATTATTCTTTCTATCAAGAAAAATGCATTTATGCAACCTGGTGTGTGAGGCTTGCTGGCAAGGAGACGAGTCAGGTTTCATTTGAACTGGATGGTGGATGAGCAGACTTTTTAGAAAGGGAGATGGGCAAAGTAGCAGATAGATATAAAACGCTTGGCATTGCAGGTAAGTTAGGCTGTATGCCATAAGGAAAATCTTATGGTGTAAGAGCAACTATGATCTAGGTCATTTCTGCAACACAAGGGAGAGAGAGGTGACTGTGGCTGAGCTAAGTCTGCAGTTACATTTCCCATATTGTCATCACTGTTATAAATGAGTGCCCTAATTAGAACCAAGGGAATTTATGGGCAGATATGAAAATGTGGTTACTATAGTTACCAGGTGCTCCAGCTCAGTCGGGAAATGTTGCTAATA